GGGTGCAAGGGGGGGGGGTTGCAAAAAATTAAATTTATATCTTAAATGTTTGAGATGTTCAAAGTTTGTTATCAGTCTTAGACTACTTTAAGTTTTGGAATTCAAGGCCGCACCACAGCACTAGTTAAATACTAATAAGTCCAATATTAACTTCTTATTAACCGAACGCGAGGTCTGTACAGAGAAATATCGGACCGAGGTCTTTTTTGTACAGACCGAGCCCGTAGGGCGATGTTTGTACAAGAAGACTGAGGTCCGATATTTCTCTGTACATACTGAGCAAGCAAGGTTAATAAAAAGTTTATTATATGGCATTTATACTTGAAACAAACAAGAAATGCATGATTTGAAATGCATATTAGTAGCATGCTACACATTTGGTTGAAGAAAACAAAAAATACCAACGTATTCCTTCTTTTCCACTAAAAACCATTCGCAGATATCTTATTAATAACAAATTAAATTAGTTTTCAGCTGTTTTGTTTTAAAATGCATGCGTTTGTTTTTATGTAATGGACCGCCGGTCCGTTACGGAAAACTAATGCACCGCTAAAAGTGCTTCTCAGCCAGTCACAGTCCGCCATTTCACCGAAAGTGATGCTTGCCATATAATAATAAAAATTAATTTAGTTTGATTGAATAAAGCAAATCCTTAATTTTGCTGGAAATGTCTAGCATTACAAGTATTTGATAATGAAAATAAAATCAAATATTAAATAATAAATAAAATTTCCATTTTTCTTTCACACAATCACGGTATCAAAAGAATCTGCGATGTATATGTTATATAGTTATTAAATAATATTTATTCAATTTCATCATATCTGTAAATTGTAATCGAGAAACTAGGTGAACTTTCATGATAGTACGCTGTTAGCCAGGGCTGGTTTTGGCGTGCTTAGCTGCTCGCCCAGCACCCCCCTAAAAAAACCTTGCTGGATCCACCACTGCAAGGGTCAATATTGGCAAGAAACTTATATTTATTTATTCTAGCTGTTTCAGTTTGTTCAATTAAAATTTCTATTCAGGTTTACAATTCAACAAAATTATGTACCCCGGTAGGCAAGTAGTTTTTTCTTTTTCTGTTTTTCATCTCATTTCCACCTCAGTTATAATTAAAGAAAGTTAACATCTTACTAAACCCACTGAACTGGCATTACATATGTGGCACTACTGGCTAAGTTTCCCCCCAAGTACAAACCTTGGAATTTAGTTCAGTATTCAGCAAAGCAGATAAAGTAATAATCTTGGAAAATGTATGCTAAATTTATCTGCACTAGACACCTATTTCAGTAGAGTTTTAAATATTACTACCTACACTTTTGTTGAAAACTTGCTGCTACCTTGGCTGATCCCAAAGCCAGCAAGTATGCTTTTGAGACAAAGAATATACAATGTGTGAAACCAGTTACCTGAGGGACAGGGTTAGATGTGGCTCCTGGATAAGGTGGTGGTGGTTGTCCATACCCAGGTTGAGCATAAGGTACTTGTGGGTTCATATTAGGATATAGTTGTGGATGTTGAGGGTATTGAGGGTTATATGCAACTTGTTGGTAGGATTGTGTTGGATAGCCACCAGGACCTAGTTGAGTTAGGTATGCTGGTTGAGTTGGGTATCCTGCTTGAGCTGGGTATGCTGATTGAGTTGGGTATGCCGGTTGAGTTGGGTATGCTGGCTGTCCTCTACCTTGCATAGGATAACCTATGGTATATATTTACAAACATTATGATTAAAAGATAATTATTCCCTTAAAATATATGTTTGGTAAGGCCTAAAAAGTACCTGTGGTTCCAGTTTCATATCGTGAAAAAATTAGGGTCGGTAGGTTGGAAATAAATTTTTTTTGAATATTTTTTTCATGATTTTGGCAGTTTTTTGTGGGGCGATTTGCAGTAGAATTCTGACATCAATACTAACTAGAGATGCATATTTTCTATGGACAAATTTAGGAAATTTGGAACCACAAGTATTTTTTTAGGCCTAACTAGGAGGTATTATCGAAAGGAAAGTGCTGCCTCAAATTAACCTGAAACTATATCAATAAGTGGGTACACATTGTGCTACAGTATTTCATGTTGTTTAAAGTGTCCATGAAACTGAGCATTGCTCTTCACTGGCATGAGTGCTTAAATTCTTGTGGCTTTGATTATATGAATCTTTGAAAAATAAACAAATACATTTTACTTGTTTGTTTTTAATTAAAACAATACACTTTAGTCCAGTGATCAATATCAGATTGTATGGAAACAAAATATGCGGGTGCTGCACAATTTCTGTCTAATTTTCTGTTTATTACGTTTATTAATTGGACTTTGCTAATTGGAATGGACATCATTACAGACATTACATCCTGTGGTAATTCCAATTAGTGAACATAATGCAAAACACCCAGACAGACACCCAGTTGGGAGACTCAAGCACTGAGTTGGTCTCAGCTAGCACCTTGACCAACTCATGTTTTTCATGCTCTCCCAACTTCCAGCGTACTCAACATATCATGAAACAATTCTTAATTTATGTTTATACAATTTGATTTGTCAGAACAATTTCAGGTATTGTTGAATTGTCCAGCATTATCATACATCTGCTCCTGACAAGTTGGACTGTTTGAACAGGTACCAATTACCTGTAACCCATTGAGCACCAATGCTTTCCCCTTGAGTAAAATATCTGACATAATAAAGTAGGGCACATTGGGATACAATTCAACTTAATGGATTAATTTAACTAGAGTTACTAGACACATGGGCACATAGTCTGATTTACCCATTGAGTACCAGTGTTCTCTCCTTGATGTATAAAATTGTGTGGTGTTAGTTTTAATAATAAAGTAGGGCACATTGGTGTACAATTCAACTTAATGGGTTAATGATGTCATGAACATTTTTAGTTGGTGATGTCCTTAGAAATTAAGCAAAAATTGGTCAGTCGATCAAATCATAACATTTAAAGATGTGGTGCAGGCTGTTCTACGCATGTGTACATTGATCCAGCTCGTGATATAAAATTGTAAACAAAACTGACGACACATAAGAACACAACAACATATGCTTCAACTGAAGTACCAAGCACTAGTAAACCAAAATTCCCAAGGGGTCAAGGCCTCAAGGGAATGATTATTAAAATAAGTTAACACTTATAAACTTCGATAGTAATGCCACCAAACCTAGTGGCAACATATCCAATAACTATAAAAATCAGAAAACAGCTAGACACTAGCTTTTTTTTCTAAACTTGCCAAGGGCCTGCCAAGCTATACAAATCGGAAGTCATGTTTTTTATGTATCATATTATCATAACAGATCGCGACATTGTGTTTGCTTCTTATATCTAATTTCGTAGTGCGTATGATTTGATCAATATTTCTCCGATTAGGACAATTTAACAACATACCTTTAGGCTGCTTTTTCTGTGACATGGTTTCTTAAAAACAGGCTAGATGATCGATAAAAATTCCAAAATAGTTCTATTTGTGTGTTTACATGACGTCTCATAAACTTCAAAGCGCATGCCCAAAACGTATTTTTAATTATTTACGTCATTCAGATAATTTATTCAGATAAATTAGAATAAATTCTAGGAGAGGCGGGTTGCGGGGTTGGGCTCTGCGGGTTGGGATTTTGTGAAGTTATTGGGATTTTTTTTTTTGGGGGGGGGTTATAGTTTTTTCAGAAATAAGACCTTGGGATTTTTCTAATCAAAGATATAACCGACCCATTTCCCTATTACCAGTTCTTTCAAAAGCATGTGAGCGTGTAGCACTCCACCAACTGACGTCTTACCTAACCACCAATCACCGTCTCTCTGTACATCAAAGTGGCAACAATTCATTCCACCGACTCTATTCTAAAAGCAATTGACCAGAAGAAAGTAACAGCAGTTATTCTTTTGGACATGAGCAAAGCTTTTGACAGCATTAACCA